ACGTCGGAGACCACAGATTACTTACTGTAATCTGTATACAAGTCAGAGACAGATGGGACACAAAATTTTTTTGGTATTAGTTTTCACTCGTTAGCGCAATGCGCTAGTATCGCATGTCGTCACAAACTTTGACGTAGGTTAGTGATGTGTAATTTATACATATATCGATTTTGCTAGTGATGTACCATAGTCAATAAAAAACTATTCGGGAATCTGTAAGAATTAAGTTTTAACTTCGACTTTTAAAACTAAATGAAAGATTAAGGAATCACAAATTATTTATTTTTGCTCCTCAACTTATACATTTTATATTTATTATAGGCTTTAATTTGAGCAATACTCATTTTTAAAATGTAAACTTTTCATGTGGGCGTATTGGTATAAATATAAATATATCAGGTTGGCGATATCTCTATATAATATTAAAAACCGCTTTGAGGGATAAGCTAAACTGCTGTTTTTTAATAGTTTATACTCCCTATGCATTATCCATTTGTGGAAATTTTCTTGGATCTCTGCAACAAAAGTCTTTTGGCACTCTTGGCAATTATTCTTTTATCTCATTTTTCTACATATGTAACCTGCTGAATATGCAGATTAATGAACCCTGACTCTTTCATTTACAGCCGTAACCCTCAATGTCTCTAGGGATTTTTCTAGATTCTTTTCATATTCATGCACATCTGATATTATTATTGTGTTGCTTGGTACATTTGTTGTACTTGGGATATTTTCTTTATTTTCTTCTTCCCTTGACTTTAATAAATTATAAAAATCTATTATCGTTTGCCCATCATCATCCTCACAGTTCAAATAAATACTGTGAGGACCCATCACATTAGAAATCAATAAGGATTGAAGGCATTGACAAATGTATAAGAGTCAGGGTTAACATTTCTATAATTTATTGCCCTTATCCTGCCAAAAAGGTTTTCAAGGGGGTCTTGATTGATTAGCCCAGGATATTTTAAGTCGTACTTAGTAAACAGTAAGTTGGCTATCCTCTCAAAGCTTTTCAGAGTCATAACCCAATCATCAAGAGAAAGGATTCGCACATGGTACTCTTTTTTATTATTTTTAGCTCTTTTACTGACTGAGTCCACAAATCTTATATTTTTTATTGTATTGATTGCCCCGCGCCAGAATTCGAAATGTTTCGTATTCGGATTTACTGGTCCTCTCAGCTTCCTTTTTTTTTGTATTGCGTTTAGTCCCATTGACGCTATCGAACAACTTGTCTATAAATTCCACGGCGTCACCTGTTGTTATCTTCATGGTTACACTAACTTTTTCACCACCAACCGTTGTATCTGAAAACGGAAGATGTTATGAAGTTTTATTGTTATAGTAATAAATTATACATTTTGGTGATTCATATAACAAATCCTTTTAAGAAAAATGATATTAAAATAATTTGATTTGCACAATAAAATATTATTTTTATTTGTAGTTGACTAAAAACTTATTGTATGTCGGTTGGCATATGTTTTACAAACTACTCCCGCCCGGTTTCACCCGCTGCTTAGCATTAAGCCCGCCTAATTTACAACGTTTGTGTGTATGAAGCATTTTAATTTAATAAATTAATTAAAATATTGTGGTATTTTTGAAAAAGTTTGATACATCATTATTGATTTCTTTATTAAGTATATAAAAAACCAATATGCGATCGAATTGAGAAAATCAACCGTTTATAAATGTCGCTTAAAAAGATAAGTTTTACTAAATGATATTATATCAACATGATTTAATGAAGTGCACCTGTATGCTTTGGTGTAGTCGTCACATGGAAGTCTTAAATTTGGTGGCTCTTTTGGAGTGTACCTAAAATAAAAACAATCATAAATAAGTAAATATTAAGTAAAAAGTACATTAAGCAATTTCAATGGGTCCCACACTCCCACATGCTTTGTCTATAGTACCTATTGTAAGTTTAAGTTTAGATATGGAATTGGTTCAACCGTTTAATAGTAACGAGGGAAGATAGGAATGCTCACACATACAATTATTTATACTGACTATACAAAACCTTCTTTTTGGGCTTCACCATAGTCAGATAAAAAATAGTTCATGCGATCTAATTAAAAAAAACAAATAAATTACAAGAAAATAGTAAATTATTCACTAGAGGATCCAAAATAAAACCACCACATGTTTAGCACAGCTGACCACGAAAGGCAGCGTGAGTGAGTAATCAAAGCAGTACAAACATACCTTTCCTTCTTGAATTTGTTACATTTCCAATCAGCTTTTTGTTGTGTCCTTTTCCGTGATAACTGGGGAGTAGTTTCCTTTACTAAATTATCAATTTTACAATTTTATGGTAATTTTACACTAACTTTAAATAAAAAATGGCGATAAATACACAAAACCACGATCCATGCGCTCTTCACTCCGCAAAATGGCCGGCGGTCGGCTGTTATTTTCATACATGGTTCTGGCTTCCGATTGGCTACGCAGATTAGACCGATTTCGTTCCTAAGCCTTAAAGCATTTGACTCTTTTTGATACTGAGCAGTCATTTCGAATCGATTTTTCTACGAATTGGTTTGAATTTGACTCTATTTGAAACAGGTAGAAAAACAAGATTTTTTTCATTGAGAAAAATGGCGTACTGTGTTCCAAAACATTAATTTTTGGATTTGACCAGTTTTGTTTCTAACCAACACAGTTATGTGTATCATGGTTACTTTATTTACGGATAATCACAGACCGAAAATATCTTCTACTGAGTCAATACAGAAGGTCTCAGAAGTCAAGCTAGAGTTAGTTAACATGCAGAAATTCGTCATAGAAACAGAGTTGTTGCATAAACAAAAACTGCAGGAGCTTGAATTGAAGACAAAGTAAAGGAGAACTAGTATGAAGAGCAAAGACGGGAAAAAGAGCTCGAGTTATTGGATTTAAAAATTAAAATGTACAAATAAAAGAATGTTCATGATATTTTTGTGTTATTTTAGCATCATTTTCTATTTATATCATCATTTTATATATAACTCCTTGAAATTAGTCAACCACTTTTAGTTTATATGGTACAAATAAATATTCCCTTATATGTCAACACCGACAGCTGAAAGACGTCCACTGCTAGACAAAGACCTACCCCTTAGTCCTCCATGTACCCTTGAGGTGAGAAGATTTGCTCATTAGTGGGCATTTATAGGCTGTTGATGATGATGATGATGAGATAAAATGGGAAACTTCTTCTTCCAAACCTCAAAGGCTCTTTCTACAACATTTCTAGTTTTTATTTGTGATTCTTGCTATAGTATTGGGACTTCCATCTGGCAGTGGGGTCATCATATATGTGGTCTGGGCATAACCACTGTCACCCAATAAATGTTTATTTGGATATTTTCCTTGTACAAAATCTCTTTTGAGTGCACAATTGTCCCATATGTTCGAATCATGTGTGGACCCATGCCATCTTGCAACAATATTTAAAAATATTAAATTTGCTACAGATACACATTGTGTAGGTATTTATTGAAAAATATCCTTTACGGTTTCGATAAATTTCAGCATTCTCTCCTCCTGGTGACACAATTCGTACATGTGTACAATCTATAGCACCTATTACTCTTGGAAATTTTGCAATGTTGTACAATCCTGCTACTATATTGCTTAGTTGTTCTCTAGTTTTTGGCAACTGTATGTAGATGTGTCTTAAACTCGCAGTGGCATGAGTCACAATTCGACAAGCAGTTCACTCATGTACGCCTATCATATCACCACATGTAATTAATCGGCTACCTGTAGCAAAGAAGCGCAAAGTGCACCAAAATTGGTTTATTGGGGTTATAGCAGTTACTCTAAAACAAAAAAAAATGTAATAAGTAGCTATGACATCATTTGTAAAAACACACGACAGGACGGGGTTAGAATACTATTATATAAAATTACCTTTCCGTCTTATGCTGTAAATGAGATTCTATTTGCTGTAGCTATATCATCGTAGTTGCTTTTGATAAACGAAAGCGTCTCACGAATTTCGATTCCAAAAGATGCTGATCTCGGGAAAAGCTGTCTTGGTGCGGTAACCCGATGTAAGTTTATGATTAATTCGTCATCATCATCCGAAAAATCAATAACGAAACGAAATTCATTCGATTTAACGAAATTACTACACAAAAAACAATGATAACTTTTGTAAACAAACAGCTGTACAACCAATATGGCGTCCGCTAAATACGTTTAGGTGCGTTAAATAGTCAATGTGGCCCGTTTAATTGTGACACTTGGCTAATTACGTTTAGTAACTTAATTTTTGTTACGCAAGGCATTAAACGATTTTAGTTTCGTAATTTTGATTAGGAAGTGCTTAAATGTATTTACGTTCCATATGCAAGCCTGTATAATTAAGGTCTTTTTGCAGCTGCTACGATCTTGCGCATTGTAGGTATTTCTTTTCTCACAGTATACATAAAATGAATTATATTTCTTAATGCTGTTAAAGAAAATCCGTCGAAATATTGCTTTCTATGTCTCTTTGATTTTGTAGAAGTTTTCATTTTGCTACCACTAGCTATTGCAGATTCATGCTCTCGTGGTATTTTTGTCAATGTATTTTTTGCAATGCCAGTAGCACACGCCACACGTTTCGTCATTTGGCACATTTTTGTAAAACATTTAAAATGTCCGCCAAAAGTTGCTTTGTCAAATTAACATGTCCTCAGTAGTGTCCGAAGCATGTTTTAGAGCACGGTTTATATTTTGAATCAATAATTTAGAGGTAGAGTCCTCTTTGCCGACTTTTATAATCGTTTCACGAGCACTTTTGGCTGTCCATAACTTTCTTCAGAATAAGTATGACCATAATAACAAAACTTACAACAAAACTAAAGCAGGGTAACGAAAAAAAGCTATAATAACACGTGGTAGAGGTATTCAATATATGTAAGCGCTGGCTTACCATGCGAACGGCAGTGACAGTTCGACTGCATCAAATCAAATCAAAACAAATCAAATCAAATTTATTCGCAAAAACATATGTATACATACACACACACGCAGGTGCATGTATGTAGGATGATAAAAAATAGAACAGTTGCACTTAATACATGTTTACCACTTGTCATGGCATGCAAATTTTTTAGCATCACTAGCATTTTTTAGCATCACTAATGGTACGTTTACACGCTCGCCAAGCCTTGGCAAACTGCAAACAGTCCCAAGCCTCCACATATCTCGTTTGGCGTTTGAAAGGTAAAAGATTCATTATAATCGTACCAGGAAACTATTGTTTTGATCTAACCATTATCTTGCAGTTGAGTTATGCCAAAATACTTACGATAAATTTTATTTGTTACAGACAATTTATAGAAGAGAATGAATGAACTATTCTAGTTTTGAGTTTTTACTGCAAAAAATTTCACCAATGCCAAGCATGATACAGAAAAACTATACCAGTCAAGTTTCGTCTTGCCATGACGGTACGATTTTTGAAATCTGGTGATTCTAAAAAAAGCCTTCACTACTTGTTTAAAGTATCTGTCTTTATGATATCAATAATATTCGTGAAGTTTGCCAAGCTCTTAATGAAATTCTAAAGAATCTGGTTAAGGTAGTAATAAAACAAAATATTATGTTATACATTTATTTATATTTTAATAGAAACATAAGAAATCTGTTCTATGAATGTATGTTAGCCGACTGCTTTATTATTTAATTATTTATTAATTTAAATTAAATAGCAAGCATGTAAACGTACTAATTAATTAGTAGTAATTTCATTTTTCATTCAGTCATTGAGTAATGAAAACTTATTTACAAACTTACAAAAAAAAATTAAAACGTTCATATTCAATAAAAAAAATTATAAAAATCTAATTAATTTGTGGTATTGTTTAAAGGTGGTGTTGCTTCACTACCGGCCCTTCCAGGGCAGTGCTGTCGGATTCAAGCCGCCGCCCCGAACCATTGCGAAGGCCTCAAAGGTGTGGACGCCGTATTATATTGTAAGCATCAATTACATTGTTTTATATTTGTTTTGTAACAGACAAACAGCGTGTCTTCGTGTTTTCCTGCTCCCACAGCCACACTGTTTGGCCAGAAGCAATAACTTCAAAATGAGTTTTGAATGTAGTTTCTCTACACACTTTTCGTCGGAAAAGATGGCGTGCGAGAAATCCGCGTAGTCCCTGTATTCTCGTGCGACGCGGACTCTCGCCGCCTTGTGCGCCTCTAATAACGTTATTTTCACAGCTGGCTTCCGGTGTCGTATTCCTGCCCGTTTGAGATGCTTTCTCACTGTTGGCATGTTGCAATCAAATAATTTGGCAAATTTTCTCGTTGAAGTGAAGGGCTCCCGTTCGTAGGTGGCAACCATCAATGCTCGGTGCTCCAGTGTAATTATGGATGGTGTTCCACAACGTGGTCTTGTTTCTAGATTACCTTCACTTTCATAGCATGCAGCATATTGCCTTTCAAAGCATGATTTTACTCGTAGGTTTTGTCAGTAATAGTATAACAAAAATATTTTTTCAAAATTAACTTACCAATAATTTTCACTTATCACACACTCGTCTGGCGGATAGTGGTCCTGTGGTCATAAAGGCATCGTCCACAAGCACATCAAAATGTCTCTAGTTGGACAAGACCGGCCACAATTTCCTTGTCTCTTAGATTAATTATTTTGTGGTGTACAATTGGAATATGAAACCACATGCACAGGTGTCACTGCGTATAAAGTGGGTTGGATGCTCCCACAGCCACACTGTTTCGCCAGAAGCAAGAACTTCAAAATGAGTTTTGAATATAGTTTGATCGGGATCGATTCCAACCACCATTTTTACAACTTTTGTTTAAGAGTGTATTCGCTAACGATGCTCAAAATGAACTGATGTCAACTTATTCGGGTTTCTAATTTTAAGTATTTCAAAATCTGGGAATATGCAAGACCTTGACTTAAAACACGTTTCGTCGGAAAAGATGGCGTGCGGAAAATCCACATAGTGCCTGGATTCTCGTGCGACGCGGACTCTCGCCGCCTTGTGCACCTCTGTTAAAGTTATTTTCACAGCTGGCTTTCGGTGTCGTATTCCTGCCCGTTTGAGATGCTTTCTCACTGTTGGCATGTTGCAATCAAATAAGTTGGCGAATTTTCTCGTTGAAGTGAAGGGCTCCCGTTCATAGGTGGCAACCATCAATGCTCGGTGCTCCAGTATAATTATGGATGGTGCTCCACAACGTGGTCTTGTTTCTAGGTTACCTTCACTTTCATAGCGGTTCACCCAGAGCCGCACAGTTTTTCTCTGTAAAAAAATCAAACAAACAATAAGAAAGTGTTTCTATAACAGTAAATAAACATAAGACCTGCATATGTTATAGAAGGGTTTGAACTAGAAATAAGTAGTAAATTATCTCGTAGACGTGTGAAGTTCAGAAAACAAAATATTAAGTTAAAAAGTAGGTTTTTATTTAAATTAAGTGTAATTTACTGTAACGTATGTGGTTTAGTTTTATAATATTTGACTGCACGGTTGGTGCGATGGCTGGGCAACCGGCTGCCGTGCAACGTGTCGCGGGTTCGATTCCCGCACGGGACAACACTTTGTGTGATCCACAAATTGTTGTTTCGGGTCTGGGTGTCATTGTGTATGTGAACTTGTATGTTTGTAAACGCACCCACGACACAGGAGAAAATCCTAGTGTGGGGCAACGTTTTTTTAAAAAAAAAAAAAAAAAAATATGAATAAATACAATTTTATGTAACTTACTCTTATATTCAACTCGCGAGATATTTTACTTATATTCGCTCCATCGTTTCTCAGGTATATAGAGGTAATATTTGCGCGATGTTGGTAGATTATTTAGAGACGACAACGTTTCCAAAAGACAAGGTGTGTACAGGAAAGGCAACTGCCAGTACTTTGCTTACTTTAAAACTTGTAGAGTAGTAAAATTATTGGAAGAAATGGTTCACAAAAAAGGTATTTTGTATCATGATGCCAGATGTTTCGTTGGTGTTAATTTTATAACACGTGAATGAAATTTACAGAAACAAATAGACAACAAATATCTTTTGTTTCAAAATTGCAGATGTTTCATTGGTCGCTCGGGGTAGAAGGCGGAGCAAGTTAAGATTTTTGGGTGCAAGCGAATTCGATTTGAAATTGACCACCGTTTACGTTCTTCGATAGTACATTGAAAATATTAAAGACAACTATTTCGTAATACATTTTTATGTGGAACAAAGGGTCCCATAACGACGTAAGTAAGTTGTGAATCAACATCTGGCAATGTTAAAACTATAAATGTTATGGTAGGGTCATTCAAATCCTTTTTGCATTTTTAAACAAAAGCTAAGAAAGTCGTTATTTCTTCGTAAATGAAACTACATTGAAAATAGACAACAATTTCGTAACACATTTTTGTGGAACAAAGGATCCCATAACGGCGTAAGTAAGTTAAGAATCAACATCTGGCAATCTTAAAGGGTCATTCATGTCCTTTTTGCAATTTTTAACAAAAGCTAAGAAAGTCTTTATTTCCCATCACATGTTACGACAAGGTAAGAGATTATATTGTAGGCATCAATTCCATTGTTTTATAACAAACAATAAACTGCGTTTCTTCGTTTTTTCGTGCTGGCTTGTAAACGAATTACACTATTGCCTTTCGAAGCATGATTTTACTCATAGGTTTTGGAACTAATAGTGTAACAAAAATATATTTTCAAAATTAACTTACCATTAATTTTTACATATCACATACTCGTCTGGTGGATAGTGGTCATAAAGGCATCGTCCACAAGCACACTAAAATGTGTCTAGTTGGACAAGACCCGCCACAATTTCCTTGTCATTAGATTAATTATTTTGTGTTCACTGCGTATAAAGTGGGTTGGATGCCCCCACAGCCACACTGTTTTGCCAGAAGCAATAACTTCCAAATGTGTTTGGAATATAGTTTCTCTAAACACTTTTCGTCGGAAGAGATGGCGTGCGAGAAATCCACGTAGTCCCTGTATTCTCGTGGGACGCGGTCTCTCGCCGCCTTGTGCGCCTCTGTTAAAGTTATTTTCACAGCTGACTTTCGGTGTCGTATTCCTGCCCGTTTGAGATGCTTTCTCACTGTTGGCATGTTGCAATCAAATAAGTTGGCAAATTTTCTCGTTGAAGTGAAGGGCTCCCGTTCGTAGGTGGCAACCATCAATGCTCGGTGCTCCGGTGTAATTATGGATGGTGCTCCACAACGTGGTCTTGTTTCTAGGTTACCTTCACTTTCATAGCGGTTCACCCAGAGCCGCACAGTTTTTCTCTGTAAAAAAATCAAACAAACAATAAGAAAGTGTTTCTATAACAGTAAATAAACATAAGGCCTGCATATGTTATAGAAGGGTTCGAACTAGAAATAAGTAGTAAATTATCTCGTAGACGTGTGAAGTTGTCGCGGAGAACCTAACGGGTAACCGGGGCTCCGGCTCGACGTGCAGGAGAAGGAACGGGGTGGATTTTAGTCAGTAAGAGTCTGACACTCCCTCCCGCCTCACCCAGGCGAGAGCAGTCATTCGATGATTTTCCCCCCTTAAAAAAAAAAAGACGTGTGAAGTTCAGAAAACAAAATATTAAGTTAAAAAGTAGGTTTTTATTTAAGTTAATTGTAATTTACTGTAACGTATGTGGTTTAGTTTTATAATATGAATAAATACAATTTTATTTAACTTACTCTTATATTCAACTCGCGAGATATTTCACTTATATTCGCTCCGTCGTTTCTCAGGTATATAAATATTTGCGCGTTCCGCTACGGTCAAGTGCCGACTGTTACTCATGATCGAGATATTGAATTACAGCTATCATTATATGTTTGTAGATTATTTAGAGACGACAACGTTTCCAAAAGACAAGGTGTGTACAGGTGAATGCACGAAAGGCAACTGCCAGTACTTTGCTTACTTTAAAACTTGTAGAGTAGTAAAATTATTGGAAGAAATGGTTCACAAAAAAGGTATTTTGTTTCATGATGCCAGATGTTTCGTTGGTGTTAATTTTTTAACACGTGAATGAAATTTACAGAAACAAATAGACAACAAATATCTTTTATTTCAAAATTGCAGATGTTTCATTGGTCGCTCGGGGTAGAAGGCGGAGCAAGTTAAGATTTTTGGGTGCAAGCGAATTTGATTTGAAATTGACCACCGTTTTCGTTCTTCGATAGAACCATAAGATGGCCGCCAGTCGCAATACCAACGTGCGGGGCTTGTAAATTATATAAATAAATATGCCTTGTTTACTTTCAGGGCATTGTGTAGGTAATTATTTTGAGACGTTTATCCAAAAACTCAATTTTTCTGTCTGAACATTGTTTTATGACTTCACAGAGTGATTTTCTAGTAATTTCTATCGATGACATTGGAGATTCTGGAATAGCATAATAAAAATAATGTTGTTTTGTAAGCAGAGTTTACTCCAAAGAAACAAGATTGGTGGTGTGGTGCAGTATTTATTTAAACTCCAATATGTGAATCGGAACACTAATCCTGACCTTTTATGTTGTGTTTGTGTGGGTAGCCGGTTCTCAAAGCTGTCCAACCAGAGAGGTGAAGCAGTTTGAGAGCGAAGTGTTACACTGACTGTATGCGACGGATGCCGCGTTTTAAAGACGCTGATCGGTCGGTGCGTTAGGCGCTAGTCGGCGAAGCTCGGTGACACTCTGAGGGAGCGGAGCGTTTACTCATACCCACTATATGTATGAGTCGAACGGTTGAGTGCCGTGGTTATTGTGGTTGTTACAGTTTTATAAAAGCAAATTTAGACTAATTCTGCAAAAAGTGTTAGAAAATAATGGCGCGTTTCTGCGAGATATTTTCCTTTGAAACCTTAATCAAGAATAATGAAACTATATGTTACTTCTAATATCATATGTTAACTAGGCTTAAGTAACTCTAAACAAAAATACGTTTAATTACATAGTTTACTAAAAAAAAATTGTTTTCCTGTGGTATATAAAATACGGTATATAACTACCACTTAAATCGAGTGTAAAACCAATATAAATATGTTTTATATAATAACAACATAACTTCTTCCAAATTATCCGTAATGGTTGTCGCACAACTTCACTGAACGTAGAAAAAATGCAATTTAAAGATCACGTTTTAAATGTAGTGCCGAGAACAAAGACATGCAATTCACACAACGACTGGGTTCCGACTGATGCTACTACGGTTAACGGAGAGCCGGTGTGTGGCCTAAATGGCCGCTTAGTGACGTCATAGCATCGACGATACAGTAGTTGTAAAACAATATTATAAAATTTCAGTTTTCAACTTTT